CTCTTATAACCTATTCTAATGATTGACTAATCCCCCCCCCCCGGAACTAGCTGGTTCTACCGTAATTCTCACTAATGGTTTATGTATATAAGCAATCCCACGTCTTTTACCTTTCAATCTGAATCTATAGGACTTCTCATCTTCTCCATTGTCAGTGATCTACCTCATTGTCCAGACAAAGATCGATTCCATGGGGTTTGGTCAAGGACCAACTGGTAGTAAGGATCCTTAATTGTGCAGTTGTTATCCAGGAAAGAGCAATGCCAAGATGTTAACTGTGGACGTTAGTTGTTATCCAGGAAAGAGCAATGCCAAGAGATTAACTATGGACCTTAGTTGTTATCCAGGAAAGAGCCATGCCAAGAGATTAACTATGGACCTTAGTTGTTATCCAGTAAAGAGCAATGCCAAGAGATTAACTATGGACCTTAGTTGTTATCCAGGAAAGAGCCATGCCAAGATGTTAACTGTGGACGTTAGTTGTTATCCAGAAAAGTGCCATGCCAAGAGATTAACTATGGACCTTAGTTGTTATCCAGGAAAGAGCAATGCTAAGAGATTAACTATGGACCTTAGTTGTTATCCAGAAAAGTGCCATGCCAAGAGATTAACTATGGACCTTAGTTGTTATCCAGGAAAGAGCAATGCTAAGAGATTAACTATGGACCTTAGTTGTTATCCAGGAAAGTGCCATGCCAAGATGTTAACTGTGGACCTTAGTTGTTATCCAGGAAAGAGCCATGCCAAGAGATTAACTATGGACCTTAGTTGTTATCCAGTAAAGAGCAATGCCAAGAGATTAACTATGGACCTTAGTTGTTATCCAGTAAAGAGCAATGCCAAGATGTTAACTGTGGACCTTAGTTGTTATCCAGGAAAGAGCCATGCCAAGAGATTAACTATGGACCTTAGTTGTTATCCAGGAAAGAGCAATGCCAAGAGATTAACTATGGACCTTAGTTGTTATCCAGGAAAGAGCCATGCCAAGAGATTAACTATGAACCTTAGTTGTTATCCAGGAAAGAGCCATGCCAAGAGATTAACTATGGACCTTAGTTGTTATCCAGGAAAGAGCCATGCCAAGAGATTAACTATGGACCTTAGTTGTTATCCAGGAAAGAGCAATGCTAAGAGATTAACTATGGACCTTAGTTGTTATCCAGGAAAGAGCCATGCTAAGAGATTAACTATGGACCTTAGTTGTTATCCAGGAAAGAGCCATGCCAAGAGATTAACTATGGACCTTAGTTGTTATCCAGGAAAGAGCCATGCCAAGAGATTAACTATGGACCTTAGTTGTTATCCAGGAAAGAGCCATGCCAAGAGATTAACTATGGACCTTAGTTGTTATCCAGGAAAGAGCAATGCTAAGAGATTAACTATGGACCTTAGTTGTTATCCAGGAAAGAGCCATGCTAAGAGATTAACTATGGACCTTAGTTGTTATCCAGGAAAGAGCCATGCCAAGAGATTAACTATGGACCTTAGTTGTTATCCAGGAAAGAGCCATGCCA